CCCCAAAACCCCAAAACCCCAAAACCCCAAAACCCCAAAACCCCTTTTTAGTCGACTTTTTGTGTATGATTGGGAAGCTTTTTGAAGCAGAGTGGGTAAATTTATTCATAATGTTATTTGAAGTAAAGTGTGAACAGATGTTTGACGAGAAATTAGTGATAAAGAGCCAACTGGTCAAGAAGACTCTGATTCTGTCATTGACAATTTGACTATATTGAAGTCCATTGTGGTGACTTCTATTCCTCCGATTGCTGGCCTTTTGTTTGAACTTTTGGTTCAAGTTGTCAACTTGATATTCGTGGGTAATCTGAACAATCCTGCAGCCCTTGGTGGTGTGGGGCTTGCCAACATGCTTCTCAATGTTGTTTGCTTCTCGATTGGAATGGGACTCAATGGAGCAATCGATACATTGGTTTCACAAGCTTATGGAAACCACAAATATTATTTATGAGGATGTTACCTCAACAGAGGACGAATTATTCAGGCAATGTTCTTCATTCCTGAAGTGATAATTTTGTTGTTCACAAAAGAAATTTTAATTCTGCTAGGTATGCAAATACTTAATTTAGTGATATCTTAATCAATCTTAAAACAGGGCTCTTATATTGTAGTACTTTATTGCCAGAAATACGTAAGAGTATATCTTTCTATCACAAATACATTCTTTTGAGTAAAAATGGTTGCCTAAAATTTACCCAATAAACAGAGACTATGTGAATCAAGTATTAGAATAGATGATTTAATGAAGAGACATAATGTACTCAGAAGTCAATATCATCTAAATTCTTTGTTTAGCCCAAGAAGAGGATGCTGCAGATTATGGTAGAACTTATGTCCTCATCCTGCTTCTCGGAATTTTCACAATGACTCAGTTCGAAACAGTCAGAAGATATCTCCAAGGCATGGAAATCTTCTCCCTCATCATGTGAATCCAGTGTGTTACGATGGTTATCCACATTACTATGTGATATATTTTGGTGTTCACATATGAGCTCGGAGTTGAAGGGACTTCAATAGCCACCTGTATTACATATTGGCTGAATCTACTGATCATAACTGGGTGTATTACATTTAGAGAAGGAGTAGTGCCTGAAGGATCCTGGCTCTTTTTCAACAATGAATGCATTAAAGGATTATGGGAATTCCTAAAAGTATGGAATCATAGCAACCTGAATGCTCTGACTTGAAGGGTGGTCTTTTGAATTCAATTTAAAGTGGGTTTCCTTGAAGTCAATGAGCTAGCTGTTAATGTCGTCTTGTTCAATACTCTTGCTGTGCTATTTGTTATCCCGAATGGAATAAGCTTTACTATCTCAGCATTAGTCGGGAATAGTATGGGAAAAGGAAATCCACCCAAAGAAAAATGACATTACTTAGTTTCTCTTACTTTGGTAATATTCTAGACAGCTATACATCTTGCCTTAGTGATTTTTTTGAGAGAAGATATTGCATTTATTTATACTCAAGAACCCAATGTTGTAAAGTTGGTGGTGAGCAATCTCCCATACTTTTCTCTCATGATGTTTTTCGATGACCTACAAGCAGTAACTTCTGGAACTGTCAGAGCAATTGGCTACCAAGACTATGGAAGTTGGCTTGCTCTTGTAGGATTTTGGGTATTCTCAGCTCCTCTAGCTTACATATTCTCGCATGTGGTGGGCTTGAGACTGGTAGGAATTTGGCTTGGAGTCCCTGTTGGAACACTATTCTTTACAATCTCATACAACCTCACCTGTACCTTTGTACACCAAAAGACCTATCAGACTCCATCCAACTCCGACTCCCCAACGAACAATCAGATCCCCAAATCCCCCCTACTACCACACAATCCCCCATCACCTAATCTTTCATAAACCCTCACAGATTTCCACCCCTCCCTTCCTATCCTCTTCCTCTAAACCTCCACCCTCTCTTCCCACTCAGCCACCCACTATCTCTCTGCTAAACAACTTGTGAATTCCTGTATCTCTTTGTAGAAGGAAGGCTGCCTTGGAAGGATTTGTGGTAGTAATTTTAGAGAGAGTTTTGGGGGAATGGGGTGGTGAGGTGGAAGTAAGTGAAGTTGACGGTTTTAGGGTTGTAGGAGTAGAGTTTTTTAGACTAAAAATGGAGTTTTTAAGTCTTTTAGATTTCAAAGTTGTATTGAGGTCTTTTTTAGCCACTTTGGCTTTTGGAAAGGCAATCCATTAGCACTTCAGTAGGAATCCTGTTTCTTTGAAATTAACTGAATGGTTGAGTTATAGAAGTATACCAGATAGTTACTGCAAGCCTATCCAGTGTTTTTGAGATTAACCTCAAATGCTTTGTCAACAGTTTTTATCTCATAGGATTCATTAGTCTTGACACCTATGAGAGCATTTGATTTACAAGCTCCTCTAAACTGGCAGTTTTCAGCACTGAATATACATATTTCCCGAAATGATCTTTAAAGATCTATTTAAATTCCAAAAAAAATAAATGTAACCAAAGAAGTGATATTAATAAATATAATATTTGTCTTTCTCAGAGAGGTCTCATGAAGGCTCTCCAAATTTAGCGACAATTTCGGTTAAATTTATATAATTGATTAAAAGGTTGCAGCATATCCACGGCAGAGTGGGGTTTTGGGGTTTTGGGGTTTTGGGG